TGTGGTGGAGAACTCCAGTACCCCAGAGGCTATCATCATCTTATGTTTGCACAAATACTAATTGATGGCTGGTTGCTACATCATGGTCAACATAAAGTTCCAGTGCTTTGGTGTATCATATATCAAATGTTTAGCAGGCAGCTTGGGTTGTTACTGCATTTCAACCAAACACTTGCTAGATATGACCATCCAAAGTGTTCACACACTCTTTTGAATTAAGACATGCTAGAAGCCAGGATACGCAACTAGCAACCACCACACCACCAGGAAGGGTGAGAATGTGTGCCAGGCAAGGCAGGTTTGTGAACTTTACCTGCTGAAGAGCGGACAGCTAGTCGCTCTTGTTGTCACACATGACCTTGCTTGGCATGAGATGGCATGGGGTCAGTCACTGGTCAGTGGGGGGTTACTACTCTTATAGGTTACATATACTGTGAATGTGCACATGCCTGAAAGCGATCAGTGTATTACCCCGCCCTGTGTGAGTGGGGCAGGGCTTTTTGGCACATTGAGTAAGAGCAAAGGAGAACTTAATGTGATGAAGGGATCCAATTCTTCTGGCTCTGAAGAAGAAGCTTTTCCTTGAAATGTGTCAGTCATGTTCTAGGTTCCCAGATGAGACCCACCTGGGTCCATTAGGTCATTACCAGCACTGTGTCATTACTTGATATGCAAGCTTTTATACATTGTTTGTGAGTATAATTTTTATCAGCATTAATAAAATTTACTAGGAATAATGCACTAGGTCGGTGCACAGTTGTGTGTTTACACTTCTCTGCCTGCCCCTGTAGAGCTCATAGAACCTTTGGCCCTGTGTGACCCCTTTACCCCAGGAATACAGCTGCAAAACTGTGCTTGAAGGCTACTGAAGGTCACCTAATGAGGCCTAATGAGGCCATTGAGCAGGAGGGGGTAGAGGTGAATAAGTTGTCACTATCACCAGGGTGGAGGATATGGGCTGGCATCATGAGCTCCAATAGTGTGTCCTGTCTGAATCCCAGTTAGTCATCATCAAATCTATCTATTGTGACATAAATAATGTAACATCTGTGCCCATGTTTGCTGGACAAGGTGTCTGTTGTCATCCTGACCCTGCCGCTGATTGTATGGTCCAGGGATGCAAAGACATTAACTTCCACATGCTAGTGGAAGGCAGGGATGGCCTTTTGGGTAGTAGAATGAAGGAGGTTTCATTAGCCACTCCATAAACTCCTCTGCATGCTCTGGAAGTAAAGGCTGGCTGTATAGAATTCCCACTGCCAGAATGAAAAAGCAGACTTGCTCTGCCTCTCAAAGGTACGGCTCCAACACAGCTTTGTCCTGCAAATGCAGAACCTGCTTGCTCCCTTACTATACGCGACTGAAAAACTTTTGCCTTTCTCAGACAAGATGTATACAGGGGATTGCCTAACTTTATTAGAAACTATGGCAATAGGAAGATTAAAAATGCAGTGCTTTAGTGCGATGATTTGGTGCACTAAACTACCCCCTCCCCCCCGAAAAAGAAAATAAATGAGAAGACTCTAGCAAAATATTAATAATATATTGACATAAAATATACCTACCTCAACAAAATAAATAAATAAAACCTAAAACATCTAAACTACAACATGTGAAATAAAAAATTTAAAAAACACAAAACACAAAAATCACATGACAGAACGATGAGCTTAGGGGGATACAGACTATGTAGCCCACCACACTGCAACCCACTGTAATAATGTACTACTACTATACTACTGTATATGGTACAGATTATAACTGCAATGTAAAACAGCAACCATCTCTCCCTGCAAACGACCTCTGTCAGCTGTCCTTATCTACTCTCTCCATACACACTGACAAAAGGCTACTGGGAACCCTTAATTTTATAGGGAGGGGCTGGAATATAAAACAATCCTCATTAATGGCACTCATATGTCATCTGACCACAGTTTAAATGCCAGGAAGTGCATGATTGCTAATTAGTTGTTATGGTGGTAAAAGGTTGCATTAGTTTTTCTGAGCTGCAAACAACTTTTGGTCAGCTTGAACCTGAAGCTCCTCCCTCATCAGGGCTGTCCAACTGGCTGCCAGCGAGACCTTTTTAAATTTATTGAAATGTCACAAATTACATTTCATTATTTTTCAAGAAAATACATGGTGTTGTGCAAACTACCCACTACAAAAATGTGTGTAATTGATACCATAACCTGCTGCTGTAATTTTAAAATATTTAAAAATAGCACAAACTCTCCAATCCCAACATTTATATGAACAAAGTGTGCAATTGATGAGTGCAGAAACCACAACCTAGTGTTGTGAATTTAACATATTAAAAGTGTCTTAGTATATAAATCATTAATAATATGTAACAATAATGATGTAGATGCAAACTTACATGATACTCATAGTATAAGTGACCACAACTCCGATTTCAAAAAAACTACTAATAAGTGAACCACACTTAATATCTACTAGTTGGGACTATCGTCCCCGTGGTGCACACATGCATCAAGTGTAAAATAAATAAATGAATATTACTGCATAGGATATAAATAAATATAAGATACATATCCACACATTAAAATAAACAGTCCATGTGTATAAAGGATTCCACAGTGAATTCATCATTATTTTAATTTTTTATTAAATTTATTTCTCTTTTTTTAAGATTTTTTTTTTCATATCTCACTATGACCAAAGTATTATAATGTTAATGTTACCATAGTAACATTGTACTACTTTGGGGAAGTGATCAGTATTTTTTTTTTTTTTTTACACAATTTGCTTATAGCAAAGAATTATTTTGCTATAAGCAAGCATTTATCTGAATGAACTCGATTCATTCAGGTTTTTTTTTTTGTGCTTAGCTGTGATTTGGCCATGGCTAATCACATGACACAGATGGGCTGTGATTGGCCCAGCTTGTGCATGTGATCACTGTGACCATTCACAGCTAGACACACCATTGTATACAATTGTCATGTTATCTGCTGTGATTGGTCACAGCAGGTCACATGGTACTGGCCCGGTACTCAGATGTGTCCAAGGTACATGGCCGGTGTACATCGCACCGCAGAATGGCCCTGCGGGCAGACGCACTGCTCATGCTTGAAAGGACGCCATATCCACCCGGAGGGACGAGCTGTTCTCCCGGCTGCCATCTGGCTATAGGCCGGATGGCTACTGGTTAAATATAGGCACCACCTTGGCCTTACGCCAATTCAGTGGCACTACGCCAGTCATTAAAGAGTCCCTAAAAATTAGAAATAATGGCTTTGAAATGACGGAGCTCAATTATTTAGGTACCCGTGGGTGTATGCCATCTGGTCCAGGTGCTTTATTCACCTTTATTCTGTCTAAATATTTCTGGACCATATCAGTTTCCAGTTTGATTGTACCATTTGTTTTTTAATAGTTCTTTTACCCTGTGAGTCCCTTTTTTAGACATCAGATCTCAGCGGTATTATTTCAGTTATATGTATAAAGATGTACTGGCATCTACTAACCTTGTAGAATCTGAGAATATTAATTCTAAAAATTAACCCATTACACATTATCACTTCCTATCTGATATTTCTTCATCTACATTTCTATGCGAGATCTACATTTTTATGCATATAGTGAGGAACAGAAGTATTTGAACACCCTGCGATTTTGCAAGTTCTCCCACTTAGAAATCATGGAGGGGTCTGAAATTCACATTGTAGGTGCATTCCCACTCAGAGACAGAATTTAAAAAAAATTCAGTAAATCACATTGTATGATTTTTAAAGAATGTATTTGTCTTGCACTGCTGAACATAAGTTTTTGAACACCTAAGAAACAGCAAGAATTCTGGCTCTCAAAGACCTGTTACTGTGCCTTTAAAAAGTCCACCTCTACTCCACTCATTAATCTAACTTAGTAGCACCTGTCTGAGCTCTTTAAAGACAACTGTCCACCCCACAGTCAGTCAGACGCCAAATACTACTGTTAGGGATCCGGGTATGACCAGAAATGTATGGACTGACACAGGGAAACGCAGGCTTCAGGTATAGTGTAAATAAGACAATTTATTAAGACTAAACAACACAAATGCAGTGCAAGGTAAACATAACACAGTGCAAACAACCCAAACTCCAGCAGATAACCATATATACAAATCAACGTAGTCGGGCAGGCCGGGTCGGTAGCAAACGGGCAAACAGGGTACCAGGAGAGAGCGGAAGAGTGGTCAGGAATAGCCGAGGTCAGGACAGGCGGAGTTCACTCAGAGTCAGGATCAAGCAGAATCAGGAATCAAGCAGGAAGCAGACAGGATGCAGGTACAGGGGCTCATGGGAAACATTACACCAAGGCCCTGATCACAGGCCTAGCCATTCCTTAAATACACCTGCTGCAATCAGTCTCAGGTGATGGCTCATTGCAGGAGTGAGCCTCTGGTTGCTGAGAGCACCCGCTGGCCAGCCCTGGTACTGCAGCCCACAAGGCAGGTGAGTCCCACCACCACTGGCAAGTCCATTCCTGACAGTACCCCCCCCCCCCTCAAGGAGCGGCCTCAGGATGCTCCAAACAGTCCGTAATGGCCCAAATGTTCCACCGCCTGGGTCCGGCAACTGGCTGGACATCTCACTGCCGGAATCAAGCGATTGGCTGGGTCTCCTGCTGATAGGCCTATCTTTTTGCAGGAGACTGCAGGAAGGCAGATTGCTGGACACAGGATTTCCAGAAGCAGGCTGGGCATCAGGAGCTGGTACGTCAGGCTGGGAAGCAGGCAGAGGCACGTCAGGCTGGGCAGCAGGCAGAGGCACGTCAGGCTGGGCAGCAGGCAGAGGCACGTCAGGCTGGGCAGCAGGCAGAGGCACGTCAGGCTGGGCAGCAAGCAGAGGCACGTCAGGCTGGGCAGCAGGCAGAGGCACGTCAGGCTGGGCAGCAGGCAGAGGCACGTCAGGCTGGGCAGCAGGCAGAGGCACGTCAGGCTGGGCAGCAGGCAGAGGCACGTCAGGCAGGACAGCAGGCAGAGGCACGTCAGGCTGGGCAGCAGGCAGAGGCACGTCAGGCTGGACAGCAGGCAAGGCAGGGCAGCGGGCACCGGGCCATCAGGTGGAGCAGCGGGCACCGGGCCATCGGGCGGAGCAGTAGGCAAGACAGCGGGCACCGGGCCATCAGGCGGAGCAGCAGGCACCGGGCCATCAGGCGGAGCAGCGGGTACCGGACCATCAGGCGGAGCAGCGGGCACCGGGCCATCAGGTGAAGCAGCGGGCACCGGGCCATCAGGCGGAGCAGCGGGCAAGGCAGCGGGCACCGGACCATCAGGCGGAGCCGCGGGTACCGGGCCATCAGGCGGAACAGCGGGCAACGGGCCATCAGGCGGAGCAGCAGGCACCGGGCCATCAGGTGAAGCAGTGTGCAAGGCAGCGGGCACTGGGCCATCAGGCGGAGCAGCGGGTACCGGGCCATTAGACGGAGCAGCAGGCAAGGCAGCGGGCACCGGGCCATGAGGCGGAGCAGCGGGTACCGGGCCATCAGGCGGAGCAGCGGGTACCGGGCCATCAGGCAGAGCAGCGGGCACCGGGCCATCACGTGGAGCAGCAGGCAAGGCAGCGGGGCACCGGGCCATCAGGCGGAGCAGCGGGTACCAGGCCATCAGGCGGAGCGGTGGGCACCGGGCCATCAGGTGGAGCAGTGGGCACCGGGCCATCAGGCGGAGCAGCAGGCAAGGCAGCGGGCGCCGGACCATCAGGCGGAGCAGCGGGTACCGGGCCATCAGGCGGAGCAGCGGGTACCGGGCCATCAAGCGGAGCAGTGGGCACCGGGCCATCAGGTGGAGCAGCAGGCAAGGCAGCAGGCACCGGGCCATCAGGCGGAGCAGCGTATACCAGGCCATCAGGCGTAGCAGTGGGCACCGGGCAATCAGGCGGAGCAGCGGGCACCGGACCATCAGGCGGAGCAGCAGGAGGCACCGAGTCATCTGTCACGACAGCGGGCACCGAGCCATCTGGCACAACAGCGGGGGCACCGAGCCATCTAGCAGAACCGCGGGCACTGGGTCACCAAGCTCGACAGCAGGCACCAAGTCATCTAGCAGAACCGCAGGCACTGGGTCACCAAGCTCGACAGCGGGCACCGAGTCATCTGGCACGACAGCGGGCACCGAGTCATCTGGCACGACAGCGGGTACCGAGTCATCTGGCACGACAGCGGGCCCCGAGCCATCTAGCAGAACCACGGGCACCGGGTCACCAAGCTTGACAGCGGGCACCGAGTCATCTGGCACCACAGCGGGTACTGAGTCATCTGGCACAACAGCGGGTGCCGAGTCATCTGGCACAACAGCGGGCCCCGAGCCATCTATCAGAACCACAGGCACCAGGTCACCCACAAGCTCGACAGCGGGCAACGAGTCATCTGGCAGGGCAGCGGGCACCAAGTCATCTCTGGCACGACAGCGGGCAACGAGTCATCTGGCAGAACCACGGGCACCGGGTCACCAAGCTCGACAGTGGGCACCGAGTCATCTGGCTGGATGGGGTCATCAGGATGGATCGGTTCATCAGGCCGGATCGGGTACACTGAGTCATCAGGCATCCGGGCATCAGGCTGAACAGCGGGCACCGGGGCACCAGGCTGGATAACAGAAGGCAGGTTCTCAGACAGCAGGCTGACCGATTTGGATACTGGTAGGATGGTACTGGTTGGAAAGAATTTTCGCTGCTTCTTGGGTTTAGTTACTGGAGCACTGTAATTAAACGCAGGTCTGTAAACGGATGGAGCAGCTGAAGACAGGGAAGAGCCGGAGGATGGAACAATGGAGGGAGCAGTTGCTACAGAGGGCTTCTTTACAGGGTAAAAGGCAGGATAGGTGCAGCAAGTGGGAGCGGGGGGACTGACATGTGGTAGCTAGCAGGGTATACTGGGCTGTCATTGGGGGTGCTGTTGGGAGTGCAGGAATAGAGCTTTGAGCAGAGGAATGATGAGAAGCAAGACTGGATTGTTGCAAGCTGACTGAGGCTGGGTGTAACAAGTCTGACCAGGACTGTAGTATGGGTTGAACAAAACTCAGCCTACACATAGCCTGTCTGACCAAAGACTGCACTGCGTTTATACACTCCACTAGCACATGTGATGGACAAGCTGCATAATGCTCATGGAAGCAATCTGGATCCTCCTCCAACAACCATACCAGCGATTCCACTTGATCTGCACTAAATGGGGGAAGAAAGTCATCCCTGCTTTCAGGGGTACTAGCTGAAGCCAACTCCACACAAGCCTGAATTAATGGTTGCACCTCAGAGAACTCTGTGCCCTGATCTACCAGGGAATGCGCGACCTCTATGCATTCTAGCAGCTGATCCCTGGTATACTCCTGCAGAGTCTCATAGGCATATTCTTTGTCATCAAAGACTAGCAGACACAAATATATAACCTCCTCAGGATGCATCCTTCCCAACAACAAGCCAAGATGGCTTCCCTGTGCAGCCACTTCTGGTCAGGAATGGCCTTGGTGTTCTGTTAGGGATCCGGGTATGACCAGAAATGTGTGGACTGACACAGGGAAACGCAGGCTTCAGGTATAGTGTAAATAAGACAATTTATTAAGACTAAACAACACAAACGCAATGCAAGGTAAACATAACACAGTGCAAACAACCCAAACTCCAGCAGATAACCATATATACAAATCAACGTAGTCGGGCAGGCCGGGTCGGTAGCAAACGGGCAAACAGGGTACCAGGAGAGAGTGGAAGAGTGGTCAGGAATAGCCGAGGTCAGAACAGGCAGAGTTCACTCAGAGTCAGGATCAAGCAGAATCAGGAATCAAGCAGGAAGCAGACAGGATGCAGGTACAGGGGCTCATGGGAAACATTACACCAAGGCCCTGATCACAGGCCTGGCCATTCCTTAAATACACCTGCTGCAATCAGCCTCAGGTGATGGCTCATTGCAGGAGTGAGCCTCTGGTTGCTGAGAGCACCCGCTAGCCAGCCCTGGTACTGCAGCCCACAAGGCAGGTGAGTCCCACCACCACTGGCAAGTCCATTCCTGACAACTACCATGGGCAAGACCAAAAAGCTGTCAAAAGACACCAGAGACAAAATTGTGGACCTCCAGAATGCTGGAAAGTGCTACGGGGCAATTGCCAAGCAGCTTGATGAAAATAGATCAGCTGTTGGAGCAATTGTTAGAAAATGGAAGAGGCTAAAGACGACTGTCAGTCTCCCTCGGACTGGGGCTCCATGCAAGATCTCAACTCGTGGGGTATCACTGATGATAATAAAGGTGAGGAATCAGCCCAGAACTACAAGGGAGGAGCTGGTCAATGGCATGAAGATAGCTGGGACCAGTTTCAAAGGTCACTGTCGGTAGAACACTACGCCGTCATGGTTTCAAATCATGCATTGCACAGAAGGTTCCCCTGCTCCAGTCATCACATGTCCAGGCCCGTCTGAAGTTTGCCAATGACCATCTGGATGATCCAGAGGAGGCATGGCAGAAAGTCATGTGGTCAGATGAGACCAAAGTAGAACTTTTTGGTCTAAACTTCACTCGTTGTGTTTGGAGGAAAAAGAAGGATGAGTTGCATCCCAAGAACACCATCCCTACTGTGAAGCATGGGGGTGGTAACATCATGCTTTGGAGGTGCTTTTCTACCAAGGGGACAGGACGACTGCACTGTATTAAGGAGAGGATGAATGGAGCCATTTATTGTGAGATTTTGAGCAACAACCTCCTTCCCTCAGTCAGAGCATTGAAGATGGGTCGTGGCTGGGTCTTCCAACATGACAACGACCCGAAGCACACAGCCAGGATAACCAAGGAGTGGCTCCGTAAGAAGCATATCAAGGTTCTGGAGTGGCCTAACCAGTCTCCAGACCTAAATCCAATAGAACATCTTTGGAGGGAGCTGAAACTCCGTGTTGCTCAGCGACAGCCCCGAAACCTGACAGATCTAGAGGAGATCTGTGTGGAGGAGTGGGCCAAAATCCCTGCTGCAGTGTGTGCAAACCTGGTCAAGAACTACAGGAAACGTTCGACCTCTGTAATTGCAAACAAAGGCTTCTGTACCAAATATTAACACTGATTTTCTCAGGTGTTCAAATACTTATGTTCAGCAGTGCAAGACAAATAAATTCTTTAAAAATCATACAATGTGATTTCCTGAATTTATTTTTTTTAAATTCTGTCTCTCAGAGTGGGAATGAACCTACAATGTGAATTTCAGACCCCTCCATGATTTCTAAGTGGGAGAACTTGCAAAATCACAGGGTGTTCAAATACTTCTGTTCCTCACTGTATATGCATATTCTACTGTTGTACACTTCTATTGGGCCTGAAGCATTTTCTGAATTCAAAGCCAGTTTCACTTTGTCTTGAAATTATTATATGTTCCTACAAGTACAAAGTACAAGTAAAATCAGCACTGTTGATCTCAGTGGAGAATCAATAAATCCATGTTTAAAGGTAAACAATGGATAAGGGCGCTTGCTCAATATACTGTACATGCATCCACAAAATATTATTGTGACTCTAAAACAAAAAAGAAATCAAGTTCACTTGAGTGCATTCCCCAACACCACACCAGACTAGGGGTCCTTAAAGAGGATGCTGGGTCATGCCAATCACTCAAAGCAATTTTCTTCACCACTTGTGTCCATATAAAAAGGGCACACTCACCAAAGGATTTTAACCCCTTGTTACAGGATGGTCAAACAATATTAGTTTCCCCAAGGATGTTCTTCCATCAGGTAAGTCTCCAAGCTCTTCATCAACCAAATATCTTTTTTAAATCCAAACAACTTTTATTGTTAAGATAATAAAGAAAATGGAACAGTGCTTACAGAATCCACAATGGCATTACTGCATCAACAGGATTACACATAAATAGAACAACGAGGATATGCAGATCCCGTGAGGACAGAATAACAGAAATGGTAATCAAACAAAACAGAGACAACAAGGATCCAAAGCCTTCTTGACAATACCTTACTTTTTCCTTTGTACCTTTTATTCCTTCCCGTCCACATGTAAACATAAATGGGGGAAAGGAACAAAGCCCAAAACATGCCTACAAACAATAAAAATAACCACATCAACAACAACATCTGGTTCACTTGAGACATCTCAACAGAATTAATGGCCAAATAAATCTTTGAAGTGGACTCAGTAATGTAGCTGCAAAAATTCATTAAAAAACATCTAAGTGTAGTATTTATCGAAGATAGATATTCCAAGTAAAAATTGTAAAAACAGTCACATTTTACACAGGTTGTGTAAAAATGGTGTCAGTGCACCACCACTGTCAGCCAGCGTGCGTTCCAAGCCTCAATTTCGTGGGTCGGATGTGACGTCATGTAGGACCCAAAGTAGCGGTCCGACACTTCTTCTACATACGTTTCACCAGAGTGGCATCTTCAGGAAGGCATACATTACATATATGTAAAAACTGTAAATAGTGACATCTCCAGGCCAGAGGTATATGCACCACACCTAGGTGGTCTGTTGCACAAAACATTTTCAACTTGTTAATATTGGAACCTTTGATTTGGTATAATGACTTATTTAATCTATTGTAAAATACTGAGCAAAACTGTTGGCGCTATATAAATCCTGTATAATAATAATAATCAATTGCTTGTATCATCTGAAGCAACCATTGGTATCCATAACTCTTGGGCTTTTTACTGTTAGAGTGGTAAGGATGTGGAACTCCCTTCCTCAATTGGTGGTTTCAGTGGGAAGTGTTGTCAATTTAAAAAGAATTTTACATGGGTGGAATGATGTCAACCTGCATATGCTCATGGGAGTCCGTCATTCCAGCACTCCAGGAGTGTGACAAGAATGCACACTGATTTGCGCATGTGAGCCCGGGAACACAGTTAACTCTAACCCTCCCATATGGGGCAGCCCCTAACTACCTAAATTACAAGTAGCATTTGAGATGAGTTTGAGCCATGTTTGAGATCTTTCACTGTTCATTTATGGCAGCCTTTTACCTACACTTGATCTCTTTCTGACCTGGATTTGATTCCTTCAAAGCTTCATCAAGCTTCTTTTACATTTCCATTGACTTGTATAGAAGGAGAAGTCTCCTCCCTCCTACTGTGGTCTTTCTCTTCCACTCCTATGTCACCACTAAACAAAGTGGTGATGTAAAGTGCTG